GCGGAGGACCTCAAATTTAACCAGGCTCGCGGAAACTGCTCTATCGCCGCCATTTTTCAACTTTTTACTGCGAAAATTTTTGTTTAAATACTTCAATACATGCTTAAAAATATCCTTGAATATTATTATCTTCTTACCCTTCCTTACACCGAAAAAAAAATCGTAAAAATACGCTTCTTTTTCACAAGTTACAGTGGGGTAACCCCTTAAAATATATGTTAATTTAATAATGATAATAATGTGTATGATATATCTAATTTGATCTGTTAGATATATTAGATATATTATATATTAAAAAATATGTTAATTTAAAAAATATAATAAAGTTATAATAAAATTTGTTTTTGTATATTACAAAGAAAATTATTTTTTTTTCTTATTTCCTTTAAAAATAATAGATAAATAAGCAAATTACGAATGGTCAATTAAAGATATTTAAAAGTATTTAAAAAAGGGTGTATTAAATTATGCAATTTTTTAGAGATATATCATGTCCTTACTTTTGAAAAGGCAGCGAGTGGGAGGAAAGATAAATTTAAACTATATTAAAAGCTTCTTTAAATGCAAACTAATCCAGGTTGTTCTTAGTGTTGCTTTCCTTATTAATTTCCTCACTCACGAGTAACAGAAACTGTTTCTATCGTAAAAATCAACGAAAACTGTAATATGTATTCATTTATGAAAAAAAAAAGATTCTAACTATACATGTTTTATTTTTTTTAAATATATTGAACACATACTATTCACTGATATGTTATATATCTCCATTCATATTTATGTATAATCATTGGAAGTATCATTCCCACAAAACGATCACAAAAGCAACTAGATATAGTTTGGGAATTCTTTGGAACCGTGAATTTTTTTCTCAAATATTTTTTGGTCACATAGAACACTATAATGAACATGAACATGAATAAACATTAATATCATATGATATGTTATTTAAGGTAACAGCACACTTTGCTTGATATATTTGCTGCTAATTTTCCATCGTATTGTGCCATTGCATATTCTTGCTGTTTTTGCCATTTAGTTAGATTATGTAAATTTCGTGAGATTTTTGGCATTAATTTGCTTTTATTTTAGAAATAGCAAGTTTTGCAAACAAGATACAAAAGCCTAATTGGGACACAAATGATTTTGATATAAAATTCTGATTGAATTTGCTGTCAATTTGCAAACGTTTTTACTATCATTTTGCTTAGGGGGAATATATTAGGTGTGTGTAAAAGTTTTAATCCTTTTTTTCACCCATTTTTGCTTTAAATCTAAAATAAATGTAATATACTAATTTCAGTCATTAAAATTTATTTTACTTTTCTATAACTTTCTTTTATCTCTCAAGTAAATTCGGATTCTTCTGTGAAAAAGACATGGATTTGGAGGCAATAAAATTGTTAATTTATTTTTGTCTCATATCTGTCACATCTTGAAAGCGCTATTCAGCTAAAAAATGCTGCATCGATCAGAATACGTGTTAACCCAAAGGCGTCTGATGAATATGTCGCGTGCGGGAAGACTTTCCCAGCCCAAATTAAAAATGGTTTGTTGAATATGAAGAATAATATGCAGCCTAGCATTATTATGTAGTAGAATGACGTTCTGATTTACTTGTCCAAATGATCTTTTTTGTCTTTTCTCAACTCTTCAAAAACGCAAAAAAGTAGAAATTTATTTGAAACCCTGACAAATTTCTACGAACAAGGACGAATTTCAATGCCAAATAATGCATAAATGCGAAAAAATATGCAATACTGCGATAATTAAATTTTTGTAGAATTTTATAAAAATACATAAAAATATGTACGAATTAGTATGTCTTCTGACGCTCCATTACGAATTTTTACAGAAAGGGAATAGTTCTTCTTACAATTAGAAATATGGTAAAATTACGTCACTCTACATCTCAGTATGAATTATTACTAAGAGAACTAAGAATTTCTAAGATCTCGTCTCAATCTATGTAACTTTTCTATAATTTTTGATAAAAATTTTTAGTTTTCCATAAAAATTTTTCCGCCAGGGAATTTAAATTACACCAGAGCACTGAAAAAAGACTTAATCTTGTGCACATACCTAATAATATTATATTGTGAACATTAGATTAAGTTAATAATTTTATGATATTGATAGAAATTACTTTATTGATTATCTTTCCAGAGTTAACGTCACTTTTATTGACAAAACAGGCAAGAAAGTTAAAGTAAAAGGGAAAGTAGGAGATAATGTGCTTTATTTAGCTCATAGGTATGAGATTGACATGGAAGGTGCATGCGAAGCCAGTCTAGCGTGCACAACTTGTCATGTGTATGTACATCATGATTATATGGACAAACTTCCAATTCCTGATGAAAGAGAAGAAGATCTCTTGGATCTAGCACCTTTCTTAAAGGAAAATTCTAGGCTAGGTATCTATCTTTCTTTTTCTTTAAAACGTTTTATTAACAAGGAGATGGCACAAATTGCGAAATATCAAATGAGATGAGCAATAGCCCATTTGAAGGGAGAGGTGGAGTGTACTAACACGGTAAAGAGTTTATGTAACTGGGCTTTGGTTTCTGGTTGGAAACGGTTTAATGACGAAGATTACATCGCTCAATGCAAACAGTTAGATAACATAAGTCACATCTCTCACAAACTTCGTATTCGCTCCTTCGTTCTTGGTAGTAAAACTATATGACTGTTGTATCGATTGTGTTAAAGTCAAATTGTGACATTTTTTTGTAGTCAGTTGTAAATCGAAAAAATTACTAAACTGTATGTGAATATAACATTATGAATATATATATATATATATATATATATATATATATATAAAAATTATTATAAAAAATAGGTGAATTTTATTTGTTGAAACAACAAACAATACAATTTTCAAACAAAAATTGTAGGATGTGGAGGGAGATAAATAATGATAAAATCAATTTTCCAAAAAAATCAATTTTATCACATGGTCACTTCACTTTTTTAAATGATATATATTTTTTGTTAAATAATATGAATTCTCTAATTATTTTGCATATGAAAGTCTTAAGATAAAGTTATCGAAAAGTCAATACTTGACGAGATATTTAATACTTTTTACTATGTCATATTTCGACATAAAATAAGAAATATCTCGCAAACTATTAGTTTCTTGATAATTATATCTGAATACTTCTATGCACAGAATGAGATGAATGAGATGAATCGATTGGTGTGAAAAAAACACAGTTGGTTTAAAAAAATGCAATTTTTACATTTTTCTTTTGCAAAGCTAGCGTATTATTTTGTGAGAACTCATTAATTATTGATAATTCTGATTTAATTTTCATAGTTCTTGATTAAACAAATAATTCTGGTTATTAAGACAAAAAATAGCCTCTCAAAAATAGCTTATCAGAATACAATACATCTATATATTGCGAAAAATTTTATAATTTATTCAATTTATGAATTAAGATTTTATCTCTCATTAAACAAAATAGTCTCAGCAATGTAGTTCTTAATGGTGTATATAATGTTATTGTGAACAAACTTTGACGCACATCTAGAAAATCAATAATATTGATATAAAAGTGAAATATTATACAATAATATACAAATAATGTATAATATACGAAATATATTACACAATATTTTAAAAACATTTATAAAATATTATATAAGAACATTGATAAAATTCATATAAAATCAATATTTCAAAATGTTTAATATTTTTGCTTACTAATCGTAAATTTAATTTTGCACATTTGCTCACAATATAAACGATTCTTTTTCATTATTTTTTGCTTTTGTCGTTACACTTGACATAATTATGAGTAAGAAAATTTTAACATATATAACTCCATGAACACGAATAAATTTTGTTTGTTTTCTTTCTAGGTTGTCAAATAATTTTGAAGAAAGAATTAGATGGCATAGAGCTAGAATTACCTAAGGCAACTAGGAATTTTTATGTGGATGGACATACTCCTACTCCGCATTAAAAAAATTTTTTTTTCTTATTGAAGTTAAATAAATATGTAAATACTTGTAAGTAATATCATTCACTTGTAAGGGTATTTTGTAATAAATAGTATTAAAAATTAATATGTGATTTTTTGCTTGAGCATCATCATCAGATTAAAAATAGATGAAAATACACAGAACATAAAAATAATTTATGTAACGCCATTTATGTAACGTTCCTGTATATTACATTTATTTATTTCTTATACATGGATTATGATACATATCTTCTTTTTTTTAAATTACAATCATATATGATAATAACACAACACATTTATGATATAATGTATTTACGAATTAAAAATCTGATTTTTTGAATGTACAACATTTATATGTGAATAGTGATCTATCGGGTTAGTTTTCACCTGTGCTGCCACAAATGTGCTACAAGTGTGACAAACAAATATTAAAAATGTTATATTCCAAACAGACATATACAGGATGTATCCTCAATAGTACCCACTAATTATATAGTGTTATTCCTTATAAAAAGTTAAAAAAGTCCTAAATCATTTTTTTCTACATTTACGATAAAGTAATTATTATTGCAGTATATTACATCTTTATTGAGCATTGTAGAAAAACATGATTCAAAAGTTTTCGACAAAATTTTTTTTAAGGAATAGCGATATATAATTAGTGAGCTATTTAACAACAATTTGTTCTACAATGCTCAATGAAACAGTAATTACTGCAGTAATGATCACGTCATTAAGCATTGTAGAAAAAAAATGGTTCAGGACTTTTCGACTCAATTTTTTACAAGGCTATGTAATTAACGGACGTTATTTGAGATATACTCTGTATATTATATACTATGATATATAATAATAGACATTTTCTCAGTTTGATCCATATAGATAATTCTTATAGGCGTAGATCACGTTTTTTATCACACTTGTAATTATGTAATTTAAACAAAAGTTGAAATTGCTTTAATAACAAGTATGACTTTTGTTTAAATTATTTTAATAACAAAACAAATGTGATAAACATAATCAGACCACACTCTATGCCTGTTGGAATTATCACACGTGTATTTTTCATTTGGTACTTTATCACAACACATTTAGAAAATTAATTTTGTACTTACACACACACACACACACACACACACACACACACCTTCGCGCGCGCGAAAATTGTTTGGTACCGTTAATTAAATGTTATACACAATTCCTATACATTACAAAATCAAAAGAAGTTAATACATTACTAGTCAAATGCTTAAAATGATACAACTTATATAAAATTAAATTATTTTTATGGCAGTAAACAATCTGATATCTATCTGCAGTATCAATAAAATTTCAAGAATTCGAAGAAGTTATACAAACACGTTTATACATATAATACAAAATTATTTATGTAATTTAAACTGTAACAGATTTTGAAATTTCTTATAAATAAGTAATAAAGTAAAATTGAAAAAATAAATATTTATTAAGCTATATTAAAATTTATTACATGTAGATCTACGTATAATATGAGAAAATGATTATTAATATAAAAAATTGTGAATTATAATTTCATTGTATAAGACTGTTTTGTCATGAAAATCGTTTTTGAAAACTTAATAATTTAAAAATACATATATATTTCTGTGTAAGATTAAGTATATATATATATATATATATATACTTAATCTTACACAGAAATTTAGATTATTTTTAGTTATTTAAGTATAGTTACAAAATATCTTGATTGATACGTTGTAATATATTACGCAATATTGAATATTTTCCAAGTTAAAGATTAAAAAAATTATAATTTTTCTAATTTTCAAAATCAGTTTTCTTGAATACAATATCTCATATGAAAAAAGCTATTTCTATATTTTAATATTCTTTAAATTTATTTTTACACACACACACACACACACACACACACGCATGCACGCGCGCGCACAGAAATATTTTTGATAACGAAAAATCTATTTGTCTATTTTATCTTGTGTTATCCTATATTGTAAATTTCATTCAGATAAAAATAAAAACTTATATTCTTCTGATTTTTTATCGCAGCCATCTTAGATTATCATTAGAAGCAAAAAGTCATGTTTTTTTAAATTTGTAATAACTGTATACATAAATAAAAAGTTATAAAATTTATAAAAGAATGATTGTTTTTAATCAATTTAAGATAAAATAACAAAGATAGTATATTATGTGTTCCTATATAATAAACATATTTTAAGATCTAATAATATGAAAAAAAAAAAAATATATATATATATATATATATATCGGTATACATCTAAAATTATGTGTATTAGATACATCAGACCTTACAGAATTATAAATTTTACATTCTTTAATTGGAATTGGAAAGGAATTTCAAACGTTTCAGTTCTACAAATTTTGCTTAGATGTTTACTGATATCTCATTTCTTTCTAATATTAAAATGTTTTACTCCTTTTATAAGCATGATAAAATGCTAATGCACAAAGCAATTTACTTCAAACAATATTACTTACATAATTAAACTTTATACTTATTGCGAAAATATATAACTTCAAAACATTATTTTAATCACGTAAATCCTAATATTAATTAAAGAATATATTATATTTTTTCTTATGTAAATATTTTCTATCCTTTTAATTAATAAGAATAAAAGATGAATCTACTAACAGAGCCCATACTATTTTTTTTTCATGTATAGTGTGGAGCACTTAATGCTAGAAACTGAAATATCTCCATTACTTTTATTTTTTTTTAAATACAAATATGTCTTTAACGAAAAAAATGCTTGAAGGGTATAAGTAATATAATAATAAACATTTTTTTATATCTTAATGAGGTTTCAAGGTCATTTTTTTAAAATGGAATTATATATAATTTTTCTAGTTATTCTATATAAAAGTATTAGAATTACATGATAATTAAAAAAAAAATAAAGAGATTTTACACTATTCTAGCACATTTTAACATAAAATATATACAATATCTTGTAATTATTTAATTTTGTTATAACCGTTCGTCAATACTTTTGTGCATAACGTAATGAGAAGCAAATAGTACAAGGAAGACACATAGTTACTTATCAAAAGCATTCGTAATTGCATAATGCAAATTGACTTCAGGAAAAGTCATATTATTTATCTATTTAAAATAAATATTTTTCTTTTAAAAAATTTTATTTTCAAAAGTAATAGAAATATTTCAAATATTAGCATTAGATGGCTGTCATTTACCCGGTATAAAGTAAATATACGATTTATTAACATTGCATAAAATTTAATATCTGATTCGGAAATTTTAAGAAAATATAGAAAAATAATGTACATATAAAATGAATTACGTAATCGTTAGAAATCAACATAACTCGATATAATATATATAACTAAACAAGATATCTTATTTTTTTTAATGACTTAATGGTAAAAAAAGATACATATAGACAAATAACTTTTTCAAAATGAAAGTCTTCAGATCTCGCTTTAAATTTTTTATTGCATGATGTATATCATTTTTAATAGTTACGTAACAAAAGTCATAAATACAAACACATGAATTATTTTCATACTAAAAATTTATAATGCAAACAATTAATTATGATAACAGTATATTTAGTAAATTATGATTTTTAGATTTGTTTTACTTGTTATTTCCACAATATATGTTTATAATTATCGATTTTAATCTAAAACAGATTATTAAAATTTGTTTTATTATCTCATATAATTTTACTTTACTTCAGAAATAAAAATAATTTCTTTCGTAATTGTATAATATTTTATTGAATAGATTTTAATATTAAATAATAAATTGAAGAAAATAATTTAAATTAAATAAGACAATATTTACGTTTTCTGTGTAAATATATGAATAATTTTGTATTTCTGTCAAATAAAAAAATATAAGACTAAAATCAATAAAATTTAAAAGAATAAGTAACATTATTTTTCAAGATGCCAAGTAAAAGAAAGAATATCAGTTTTTATAAACGCTAGAATAAATTATAAAGAAAAAATCGTTTTTAATCGCAAAATTAAGTAAGGAAAAATAGTAGATATTATTAAAGATACAAAAAACAGAATTGATTTTAAGATTAAAAAAATGTCCGTAAGCATTTGAATCTGAGAAACAGAAAATCATAAGAAAAAAATAGAAAAATCTACGATTGAATGCTCTATAATTGTCGCTTATATTTATTTTTCTCGATGAGAGAAAAAATGAATAAACAATTCATTAAAAGTATAAAAAACACTGATATAATAAGCATATATATTACTTGAAAAAAATCACATGCAAGTGAAACAAGTAGAAAAAACTGAATTTATGAAAGAATCTTATAGAACAATATATGTTCTAAGGAAAGAATAAACATTTCGAAATAGAAAAAGAAATTACGGAAAATTAGGTTAGCAAATAATAATGAGTTTAACGTTTTTGGTTCGATTTAAATAAAAAAAGGAAGATGTAGCAGGACAAAGAAATAAAATAAAAAGTTTAAAAGTACATATATAGTGGAAAATGTAACAGTGTAAAAACGCATTTTCACAATTTAAATTAGCGCATAAGCACTTTTTAAAATCAACTTATTATAGATAAACAATAAATATTTAAGAATTTTAGAAAATAATTTCATAAACGATGTGGGTATTTTAATAAAATTGTTTGGTGTTACATTCCAAATCGCCAGATTTAAACGTCATATAGGAAAATATACATATAGAAATTTATAGAAATAGAATATATAGAATGAATAAAGATACAATGTACTAAAACAAAAAATGTGTGTAACACTATTATTTCTGAATATTTAATAACAATTATTCTAAATGCACCTCATCGTTTGAGATGTTATTAAATAAAAAATTATTACCAATAAAATATTAAAAAAGCTAAGTTCAAATATAAGTATATAAAATATTAATTTTCATGAAATGTTCAAATATTTTTATCACATAATAATTTTAGTGTTCTGTGTGAAATTTGACGTAATATAATAAAATATTATATTTATTCAAAGGTTCTTCATATTTTTGTACATTAAAATAAATATAAATAGAATGAAT